TATGTGGTGTTAAGGATCGAACCTGGGTCCCGCCCATTCGAAGTGAATGCTCTACCACTGAGTATCAGTCCCAGCCCCTACAAACTATATCTTTGGCCCTCACTATTTTTTAAATTCTCTTTTTTCTGTGATCTTTTTTTTTTTTTTTTTTCTTGGTACTGATGGTCAAACCCAGAATTTCTCTACCACTGAGCTACATTCTCAGCCTTTTTATGTATGTTTTTAAATTTTGAAACAGTCTTGCTAAGTTCCCTGGGCTGGCCTTAAACATATGATCCTCCTGCCTTGGCTTCCTGAGTATCTGGTATTACAGGCATATGCCATTATGCTCACCTTGTTTTTGAAGGATATTTTAATGGGTATAAAATTAAAGGTTAATAGTTACTTCCTTTAATTCTTTTTTTTTTTTAAATACATCCTCTACCACTGAACTATATCCCCAACCCCATTAAGATTGTTTTTAATTTTGATAAAGTCCAACTTAATTCTTTATCACTTGTGTCTTTGATCATATCTAATAAATGTTTTATTTAATCCCAGACCATTTAGATTTACTTCTATTTTCTAGTCTAAGAATTTTTTAGTATAAGCTCTTAGATTGAGATCTATGATCCATTGAGTTAATTTTTGTGTATGATATAAGGTAATGGGCCAAACTAATTACTTTGCATTGGTTAACTCATCCAAATCTACCTTTAAACTTTGTTACAGAAATATTGGGATGTGTGTGTATGTGTGTGTGTGTGTGTCCGTCCTATATATAGAGAGAGAAGTAGACAAAATGAATCTCTGTACCTGTTATCTAACCTTGGTTATCAGTGTCTTGTCTGTCAGTCTTCTTTTATCTGTTTCTATTTGCTTTTGGACAGTTGCTGTACCTTCCTTAGGTTGGGTCTGTGACTTCTAGATGTCATTGTCTCTGAAGTTTTTCTAGTATTATTCTATGTTAGCTAGAACATATCCTTTAATAGCATATGCAAAAAGTAAACTGAGTTCTTCATTTCAAAAATGTCTTTATTGTGTGTACTCATTTATTGATTTAAGTTCCTATACATGAAATCCTAATTTGAAGTTCATTATCTCAGAGTTGGGAAGGCATTTTGCCATTTTCCTCAAAAATATAAATTTGCTTTCAAGAAATCTGATCTAGGACTGGGGATATAGCTCAGTTGGTAGAGTGCTTGCCTCACATGCACAAGGCCTTGGGTTCAATCCCTAGCACTACAAAAAAGAAAAAAAATCTGATCTGGTCCAGAATGTTTTTGTAACCTGTGGAGGTTTTTGTTTTGTTTCTTTGTCTCTTTAAAGGAGATATGCAAGGATTTGTCTGTCTTGTGTTCTTAAATTTCCAATGATGTTCATTGTGAGTCTTTTTCCATTTTACTTGTTTATTTTTGACATTTGGTGCCCCTTTCAATTTGAAGACATTTGTTCTGAAGTTTTGAGAAGACATGTTTTGGAATTTATTTAATAATGCATGGGGGGCTGGGGATGTGGCTCAAGCGGTTAAAAAGCGTGCGGCCCGGGTTCGATCCTCAGCACCACATACCAACAAAGATGTTGTGTCCGCCGAGAACTAAAAAATAAATATTAAAAAATTCAAAAAAAAAAATAATGCATGGGGATGCCTCCGAATTCCTGAATAAATCTCATTAAATTAGAACAGGTTTTTTTTTTTCCTCTTCTTTTGGTAACTTGGGATTCGTTTTTATATATTCATACATGCACCCAAAATAACAGTATGATTTGGTCATTTTTATTCCTTAATACTTCCCCTTTCTCTACACTACCACCCTACCACCCTGTTTTTCTACTGGTTTTTTCTTCGGTTTTTGTGAGAACCCCCTACCATTTTTTTTTCCCTTCCTTTTTTTCTAATTTTCACATGTGAGAGAAAACATGGCCCTTGACTTTTGAGGTTTGGTTTATTTCATTCAGCATTATGTTCTTCAGTTTTATCCACTTAACCAGCAGATGACGTAATTTCATTCTTCATAGCTGCATAAAACTCCAATGTGTATATATGTGCATGTATGTATACGTGTGTATACACACCATAATTTCTTTACAAATCATCAGGATTCAAGGAGTCATAATCTCATAAAAATAGACCTAGAAACTAAAAACATTAATCCCCCCTCAGTAGTTACTAGTGATTTGTTGGCAAAATTAAGATGATTTTTTTTTTTTTTTTTTTTTTTTGGTGCCAGAGATTGAACCCTAGGTTGCTTAGCCACAGAGCTACTTCCCCAGTGCTTTTTTATTTTATAGGTGGGTACATATCTTTGTTTCATTATTTTATTTTTATGTGGTGCTGAGGATGGAACCTAGTACCCCATGCATGCCAGGCAAGCGCTCTACCACTGAGCCACAACCCCAGCCCCCGCCCCAAGACTTTTTTGATGCCTCTTTGTAACTTTTAAATTTTATATTATGCGTAAACTTATCAAAAATGTAAATTATATAACAATATACAATGATAACAGTCTTAGAGTTCTGTAATATTTATTTAGACTGGGTAATGGGTATAGTTTATGATAGTTCAGAAGAGTAAACATGATTATTATAAAGTTGTTGTGGTGAGATTGTGACTCAGCGGTAGAGCGCTCGCCAAGCACATGCAAGGCCCTGGGTTCGATCCTCAGCACCACATAAAAATAAATAAATAAAGATATTGTGTCCAACTAAAAAATTTCTTTAAATAAATAAAGTTGTTAAACTTCATCCTTATATTTTGCTTACATTTCTGAATCTTCCTGCATATGGGTCCCCAGAGCTTGAACATAAAACTACATTTCTCTTTTTCAACTGAGAAGAAAAAAGAAAAAAACAAGTCTTCCATTAGGTGTTATATGTCAGTTTAGCTCCTAGAAACCTGTTAAATTCTTTCATGTTAGCTTCTAGGTTCTGTAGGAAACAGAGCAGTAAGATAGTCACTTTATGCCATTTCTTAAAACCTCGTGTAGAAGCAAGATGAGCACAAAAGTTCCACAGGTATTATGAAGGGGAAATGCAAAGTGGTATTGGGAAGCTGCAGTTGGCATCTGTAGAAGGTAGGATTGATCTTTACAGCTAGTCAGAGCCCTGGCCAAATACAGGTAATGTGCATTCTTCTTTGTACTGCTTAGCTGGCAAGAAGCATGAGTAGGACTCACCATCAGGCTGGAGGCAGCAGATGGCAGTCTTCCAGAGTAACTTCCTGTCTGCTCCTGTGTTTGCTTTTCTGGCTCTGGATGCCATTCTCATGCTCTGGGCAATACTGTTCTGTCCTTCCCCACACACAGTCTGCTCACCACTGGGAAGAGAGCAGCTTTGCATCTGCTCCTTTGCAGCTGAGGAGACAACTGCCTCCCTTAGGGAAGAGAGGGTGGTGAGGGGAGGTACAGGGGAGAGGTGAGGAAGTGCACCACAGGTCACCTATCAGAGCCCTAGTTTAACCTCTTCTCCTTTATAGGCTCTTTGATGGGAGAAGTTTACCATGAGAAAGATTTCTTTCGATCCTTTAAAAGGGTTGCTTTAGCTATAAGGACCAGGAATTTAAGGAGAGTTATTATTTTACATTGAAATAAGTGTTTGGAAGAGACATGCAAATTGGACACCCTCAGTTACAGAATTCCCACTTTGAGAGGGCTGGGGATATAGTTCAGTGGTAGAGCACTTGCCTAGTATACATAAAGCCCTGAGTTCCATCCCCAGCACTGCACAAAAACAAAACAAAATTCCCACTTCAAATTGCATTTTTTAATGTGTTTTTTTTTTTTCTTCAAAACAAATACTTACCTAAATAATTTTAATGATCTTTTGCCCTTAGCATCTGGCTGCTGTGGAAGAGAGAAAGATCAAGTCCCTGGTAGCTCTCCTGGTTGAGACACAAATGAAGAAACTAGAGATTAAACTTCGACATTTTGAGGAATTGGAAACTATCATGGACAGAGAGAAAGAGGCTGTAAGTAAGAGGAATTCCATAGTGGGTGTTTGACGCTTAACCCTAACCACCTTTCAAAAATACAAGTTAGATAATATAAATAGTGACCTACCCCATTGGTCTCTATAGCTCTATTCTGTCCTTTTTGGCCGGTTTGATTGTCCTTTCCAAAGGATTATCAGCCAGTGGTTATAAATAAAAGGAACTCCATTCACTTTCTAAAACCAGTTGTCTAAGCTTCTTGTACCTCTTTGCTGTGTAGATACATAACGTTAAACTATTCAAGTTAGAACTTGGACTTATTTTCATTACCTACTTGTTATCAATGAAGTAAAATCCATATAATTCCATTATCTGATTCAGAGATTTTTCTTGATTACCCATCTTTTTCAGTATAAATATGGGGAAGTAGGCATTAATCTCAAGAGCCTCATTTTCTGTGATCCCTCCTGACATCCAGTCTTGAACTTTCTCATCTTTCCTTCTCTCCCCTGTATATTGAGCCTCTCTTACACAACATTCTCTGGAGCAGAAACTTTTGACATAAGGACATGACCGAAACAGAAAATTTATGAAATAGTCCAAAAATGAGAAAGGATGCCAGGAAAATAAAAAACTGAGAAGCACAGGAACATTTTGATTTTTCAGAAATTCCCTTGAGATAACCAGAGATTAGTTCTTGGGAGTTTATTTTTTTTTAATGGGTTGAGAAGGAATTCATGACTTCCTAAACATAAGCTGAATGTGAGGATTTAGTTAGAATTTTCCTCCTGTTTTGATTTTTTAAATCTACATACGAGATATTAATTCTCTTCTCAAATTGAATCTTAAGAATAAATTATTGCAGAAGAGTGCACATTTTTATGGATCTATTTATATTTTTTCAACTGTTTCCCAGTGGTCAATCCAAGCAAGTCCTCTGGCAAATTCTTCCTGATGAGTAATCCAGTAACTCTCACCATGCTTCATTTTCATTTTGTCTTAAGACCAGCTGGGATATTAACAGGACATGTTAATCTATAGAGAGGGGAGAGTCTACTTCAATAACTCTCCTGCTTCCATCGCCACCATCCATCCCCACCACCCCATCCCCAGTTCCCTGATGTGAGCAGTTCCTAACTGATTGTACTCTCAATCACTGCACTCCCCACATCTTTTTTTTTTGCGCTGATAGATCATTTATTTATTCGTTTATATGCGGTGCTGAGAATCAGACCCAGTACCTCACACATGCCAGGCAAGTACAATACCACTGAGCCACAGCCACAGCCCCCCAACATTTGTCTTCGAGCTCCTGTCTGCTATACTTTGGCCCTTTCCTGCCCAAGAGCCTTTGAAGACCCCAAACTCATCTCCATTACCCTCTGCACCAACCATGCCAGACCAACATAGGCTTCCCTTGCAGCCTTCTTCTCTTTGACACCTGATTGTATCCTGTTCTTCTGCCAGGAAGTTTTTTTTTGTTTTGTTTTGTTGTTTTTTTCCTACTTTTTGCCTATCCCCTGTATCTTTCAGCTATGAGTGATATGCTCTCCTTTTTTACCGCTGTGGCAGCCTTGAAAGCACTTCCTATATATAATTTCCAATTCTTGTGTCCACATCCCATACCAGAAAGTATGCTCTTAGAGGGCAGAGACTTACTCATCTGTCGTCTTTAACACAGAACTGGCGCATCACAGGTCCTTATTTAAGTATCTTGAATGAATTTATGCCAGCATCATTGCCAAAAGTTGAAAAAAAAAATGGAAAGGAAAATTGGCCCTTGGAGGATTTAGTTTAACATGGAAAATAGTCATGAAAAGAAATACTAGTAATACAGAGTGTTCAGTACTATTGGGGAAATAGAAAGGAGGAATCCCTGGGAGATGCAGAAAAGGAAAGGCTATCAGAGAAAATTTCTAGAGGTGTTGCTTTAGGGAATGAGTATTTGTGTTTATCCTTAATAAGCTTTTCTTTTGTCGTTTTGTGGAGTCTCTTAGGGGACTCTGGCAATAGAGCTACAAGATAATGAGTTATTGGCACATGCAGAATTCCAGTGGTGCTTAAGTAGTTACCAACAACAACCAGATGCCTTATTTTCATTCATGAAGCCTGAGTGATTTATTAGCCTTGAATGTTGGGGTGACCCTAGCTGAGCTCGTATAGAACAATGTCTAGATTGTCTAGGGGCTCTTCTCTTAGCTCTAAGTCATTTTCTTTTCAGAGAGTGAATTTATACCACCAGTCTTTTACACCTGATAGAACTGGTCTGTCATCTAAGAATAGTAGAGCCCTTATTCTTTTCCACTTCTGTTCATTGGCTCCCAGACACCTAGCAGAGGTATATAATGGCTTCACTTCTCTTAGCTCATCAGTTTTCCTTCTGTTGTAAATTTTTAAAAAATTTATTTACGTACTTATTTGGTACTGGGGATTAGATTAAATCCAAGGCCTTAAACATGCTAGGGCAAGTACTGTACCACTGAGCTACATCGTATCCCTTTTTTTCAGACATGACCTTACTAAATTGCCCAGGTTGGCCTTGAACTTGGATCCTCTTGCCTTAGCCTCCCAAGAAGCTAAAATTACAATCATATACCACTGTACCCAGCTTTTTTGTAATTCATCTCAATCCTCTATAAACTTTCTAAAGTGGGGTGTCACTGTTTTCCTCAGACTGTTCTGATCTTCTGAGGCTTAGCAGTCTTCCTTCCTTGGCTTCCCAGGTTTCTAGGACAACAACCATACACTATCACACCTGGCTTTGACTTTTTTTTTTTAATATTAAATTCTAATCAGAGCACACAAATTATTTTACAATATAAAGCACAACTGAAAATGGGAAAATACTGACACTATCCAACACACAGGGCTGCTCTGCTCAAATTTTTTGGAATCAGCTACATTTAGTACAGGAAAATTCTTTGTACAGAACAATCCTTAACCCTGCCTAATGAGTATCAGTAGCTCAACTCTGTTATTTATCTATTACTGCATTAAAAATTAACAACAAAGCTTAGTAACTAAAACCAGATAATATTTATTTTCTCACATGGTTTCTGAAAAGTTATTCAAAACAGCAAGAGTGTGGTAAAGCACCCCAAAAGGAAAACCTATTATCTCAACCTGGAAGATATATCACTTCTGTTGTACCCTCCCAGCCACACAGACCAAGCCTAGTTCCATGGGTTCAGCAGGGATGGTGTACATATTAGGAAGTGGATGGTTAGAGGTCAGCTTGGAGACTTGCTTTGACAGTGACCAGAATTAATCCTTTGAACTTCAAAATGTTTCCTGTTCATTTTTTGCACAATTAAAACATGAGTTAGCCAGGTGCAATGACACATACTTGTAAGTCCCTCTCCTGAGGCAGGAGAATCACAAGTTGGAGACCAGCCTGGGCAACTTGGTAAGGCCCTCTCTCAAACTAAAAATAAAATAGGACAGGTGTTATGGTGCACGCCTATAATCCCAGTGACACAGGAGGCTGAGGCAGGCATATCTCAAGTTCAAAGCCAGCCCCAGCAACTTAGCAAGACCCTGTCTCAAAATTTTAAAAATGGCCAGGGATATAGCTTACTGATTAAGCACCCCTGGCTTAAATCCCTGGTATCAAAATTTAAAAAAAAAAAGAAATAGTATTGGGGGTATAGCTCAAGGGTAGAGTACCCCTGGGTTAAATCTCTAGTGGGCAGGGTTGGGGAACATGACCTGTTTTTCTCCACCTGGCACTAGTACTCTGTTCTGTGAGCAAGTAAAGCCATAACTACTAATCTGGTGATTTTTCCCACAGAACTGTTGTAAAGATGAGAGAAGGATGGCATATGCCTGGCACAGTGTTTAGCACATAGTTAATATTCAGTAAATATTTATGTGCCTTCTTTTATGCACACCAGTATGCAGCAATGATATATGAATGTTAAATATTTATGAGCTGTTTCTGGCTTTGTGAATATTAGGTTACTCAGTGTGTTAAAGCATTTTATATAGATTTTCTCAGTTTGGTGAGACCCAAGCAATTTAATCTCCAAAAATTATATGAGGAAACTGTAAGAAAGGAAATACTTAAGCTTTGAATCTCCCTGTTCAAGAATCCAGTAGTGATGCTGAATGGTGTGATCTTAATTTCTTCATTAGTCCTTCTTAGAGATGAGACAGGTAGGTTATGAACCCCTGTTCAATAAATGACATGCCAGGTCTTAAACCCATGTTACTTAGCAGTCTGGATTTATGTTGTATTTTATAATTTATAAAGAAATAAGCCATTTTTATCACATTTTAACCTAGGGACTCTGAATTAGGCAGGTTTTGTCATCCCCTTGTGAGTCAATAAAGCTGATGCTGTTGAAAGTGAACAGATCCTCTGGTTATGGAGCTTCCTAGCTCCCTAATTTCCTTGTGCCTACCGCATTGCCTCAGTTCAACGTTTTGGGGGGGGGGTAAGGGGCGTTACTCACTGAGTTACTGAGGGTGTTACTAAATTGTTGAGGTCGACCTCAAACTTAATCCTTCTACTACCTCAGCGTCCCTAGTCACTGGGATTACAGGTATGCACCACCATACCTGACCCTCAATTACAGAGCACTCTTACTTGCTTAACCCAGTACACAGCAGATTCAGCATAATTTTTCTTTAATTAAACATTTGGTTTTGTTTAAAACAGATGTGAAGGTATTTTTTTGCCCCCCAATACCTTAAAATCAGGTGTTCTCTTGAGTCTTAAATATTTGGTAATTGAGAATAAGGATGTAGGGCTGGTGTCGTAGTTCAGTGGTAAAGCACTTGCCTTGCATGTGTGAGGCTCTGGGTTTGATCCTCAGTATCACACAAAAATAAATAAAGATACTGTGTGTTCATCTACAACTTAAAAAAAAAGAATAAATAAGGATATAGACTAGGCATGGTGGCACATGCCTGTAATCCCACCAAACCTGGAAGGCTGAGGCAAGAGGAACACTAGTTTAAAGCCAGCCTCAGCAAGTTTGGTGAGACCCAAGCAATTTAGCAAGACCCTGTATCACAACAAAAAATAAGCTAGGGATATGGTTAAGCACCCCTGGATTCAATCACCTATACCAAAAAAAAAAAAAAAAGAAGGATGTAAAGATTTTAAATGTTTTATAAGTATCATTAGTGCTCAGCAGCCATTGTCCCAGTGTTCTCAAAGTGTTAATAAGAAGGAAGGCAATTAAGGAAGTTACAGTCTGTCAGGGAGATGGCAAAGCATCGACTCCTGTCTCCAGAAAGATGCTGCTGGACCAAGTCACCTTTATTTAGTGTCACACTCAGCAGTCAGGAAAGCAGATTTTAGACTGATTGTGTTAGAAACTACAACAGTCTGGAGATAGCCAGAGTACCTGGACCCTGCCTATAGCAGCATTCACATTTTAATGTTTTTTAAATTTAAAAAAAAAAGACTTTTTTTTTTTTTTTTTTGTGTGTGTGGCCAGTGAGAATTAGCTTTGGACTAATTACTCTGTGAGTCTCTGACATTCATTTGGCTAGGAATAAAAATTGTGTTACCTCCAGAAAATAAAGACATTGGAAAACGCTCAAAGCTGTGAGAAACCCAGACCATGTGCTTAAAGAGGTGAGAGGTAAGTTGGGGCGTTTTACACATCGAGACCAAATACTGTAAGATAAAGGGGCAGTGAAAGTTCAGAGAAGATTGGCTCTGGCTGACATGATCTTCCTTTCAGTTTATGATAGCAAGAATCAGTCTGTCCAGCTGTATTTTAGAGAGTAAACTATAAGGTGGCAAAGTCAAACTGGGAAACTAGTGGGAAAGCTGTTGGGATAACCCATATAAGACGATGGTATTTTTAGGCCATGCTGTCAGCAACGAAAAAGAAGGAAGTGGAACTCATGCCCATCAAATAATCAAGTCCTTTGTTATATATGCATCTTATATTATCATTCCAAGATTAATAAAGCCATACCCAGAAGCAGATTCACTTCTGAAGCACAAAGATGGATACCCTTTTGAAGCAAGCACATTGTAGCAAAGACAAGATGACCAGACACAGTAATAGAACAGGCTCACCCTTTGGGATTCTGCCACTGGAAGCATATATGGAAATAGAAAATGTAGTTGTGTTTTTTCCCCTCAGGTAATAAGGAATGGGCATATCTGTTTTAGATTTGGTTTCTTCAGTGAATGACTCCCTCACTGATACCAAACACTGAAAAGGAAGGTGTGATTATTTATTTTCGTTCTGAGGACAAGAGCTAATGTCTTTAAGTTTAGGCTTTTCAGTCCTTGGCAGTGAGGATGGGTTTTTTGGTACCAACCATCTTTTCCCCTTTCCCACCCCTCCTCCCTGCATTATGCAAATAGAGATTTGGAGAAGAGCTTTGTGTGCACTTCAGCTGCACTTGCAGCTGTGTCTGCATTTGGTGTCTTAATGTTGAAAAGTGCTCTGTTGTAAGTTCCGCTTGGATACAACTGCTTTGTACATACACACAGTGTAGGAGCACAGAGGAATAGGAAGGCAGGGTAACGGTGCTGTGGGGGTTACCCAGGGGTTTCAGAGCAGGGTACAGGCAGCCTTGTATGAAATTGGTTCCCTGAAGCCACATTGGAGTTCTGAAGAAAGTTAACAGGTTCATTTAACACTGTATTTATGTGAGTAATTTACAGTTTGGCTTTTGAGCTTTGTGTACATAGTCCTAGGAAATGGAGAAGGCAAAGAATGAAATCACAATGTCTGTAGGACATAACTTGTGGAATGTTTGGTATTTTTTATTCCAAATTGTTGTGTGTGATGTAAAAAAAAAAAAATCAAATAATAAAGTGAATTTTAAAAGTTGGGGGGTTTTTTGTGGGTTTTTTTTTTTGTTTTGTTTTGGTTTTTCTTCTTCTTTTTTTTTTTAGTACTAGGGATCAAACCTAGGACCTCAAGCTTGCTAGGCAAGTGCTCTACCATTGAACTTCACCCCCTATCTTCTGTGCTCAGTTTCATTACTAGAAATAGTCACTATGAGTTTACTGTTTTTGAAACATTTTTAGTGGGTGTATAAGTGTGGTTATACTTAATTACTTTTTTTTTTTTTCCCCTGAAGCAACTTAGACCCTGTCCCAAAATAAAAAACAAAAAGGGCTGGGGATATAGCTCAGTGGTAAGGCACCCCTTGGTTAAATCTCCAGTTACCGGCCCCCCCCAAAAAAAAAAAATATGACCAGAATTGCCAAATTTCACTAAAAAATCCCTAGTTCATATTCTTTTAATTGCCATGAAAGTGAATGCTGTCTTCATTTGGATTCAATAAAAATAAGATGTCCAAAACAAGACAGATATTTCCTTTGCAAGCTGAGGCCAGGATGTGACCATAAGCTTTACTACTTCTACCATAAAGTAGAAATGGCCCTCTTGGAGCCAACTGGGAGCCTGCTATCTGAGCATTACTCTGATCTCAGGGGATCTGTTTGTTCCATATTGGAGCTTTAAGGTTAAATGAGATTCTCTTTGAGGTGTATAGTATGTGTTTAATCACTTACACTTTTTCATGTTTCTAATTACTTTCTCTTAATTACTTCTTACGTTTTAAAATGTCAGATGAAGTTCAGAAATAAATAGGATAAAGGTTCATTCATATCATAGGTGAGAAAACTGGGCAAATTTTTCCTCCCATCCTCTCAATGATAGATTTCCTATTTCTTTCCAAGGAGAGAGGCTAGTGTGGTTATAGAAATTAAAACAAAAACACTGGTCTGGGTAAGAGCACCAACTTTCTCTTCAGTAACAGAAAAATCTCCAGTAGTAATTTAGCTTTCTCTTAAAGTAGATTTTGACCTAACTTCTGTAGTTCTTACATAACTGCAGGACTTCAGCCAAGTTGTCCAAACTAATTCAAAAAGAACATAGGTGAAGGGCAGCCTCTTAAATCTAACCTCAGCAAATTAGTCCTAAATTTCCTAGAAAGAATGATTAAAAGAAAGCAAAACTGAGAATCTATTATCAGAATCTAACATCTATTGCCGCCATTTATCTTTCTCCTCACTTGTGCGTGCATACCTCTTTTTGTACTGTGACACCTATCATTTATCATGGAATTCCCCTAGTTGCTACTCTTGTTAACCAGTGATGCTTCTCATTTGATTCTACAAGAATCCTACACAGGTCTTTGCTAAGAGCCCAGATTCATAGATTCATAGATTAATTCTCATGCTTATTCCATCTAGTTTTTGCAAATTATAGTATATAGTATTTATCCATAGAACTAGCTGCTCCCAAAACCAAAAATGTTGACCTTTCCCTAACCCATTAAATGCCAAAGAATAGCACTGTTCAATAGAAATAAAATATGAGCCATACATGTACTTAAACTTTTTTAGCAGCCATTTAAATTTTTTTTAAAAATCAATGAAAATGTACTTAGGAGGCTGAGACAGAAGGGTCCCAAGTTTAAAGGCAGCCTCAGCAACAGCAAGGCACTAAGTAACTCAGTGAGACCCCATCTCTAAATAAAAACAACAATGTGGCTCAGTGGTTGAGTGCCCCCGAGTTCAATCCATGGTACCAAAAAAAAAAAAGAGGAGGAGGAAAGAAAATGTACTAATTTAATGCAATATATAAAACTCTGCATACTGCAATCAATATGAAATTGTTTTTTCTTACTGAATCTTTAAATTGTAGTGTACTTTACACTTTTTGGTTTTTGTTTGTTTGGTTTGGTTTTTTGTTTTTAACAAAGGGGGTGGTTTACTAGGGATGTTTACTAGTCCGGGGATGCTTTGCAATGGAGCTACATCCCCAACTCTTTTCTTGAGATAGGGCCTCACTGAGTTTATGAGGCTGGGCTCAAATCTTCAGTCCTCCTGCTTCAGCCTCTCAAGTCATTGGGATTACAGGCATGTGCCATGGCACCAATCTCTTTTTTATTGGCCACATTTCAACTGCTTAGAAACTGGATGTGGTGTATGACTTCTTCAAGGAACAATGCAGCACTAGAAAAGATTTGCAGTAACTTAGATCTACTAATAGAAAATGATGGGATGGAGACATTACTGAAAAGGAACAGATGTATTAACCTCCTTATTATATTAAATAACCTTCTTATCATTATATCACCTACTACCAGCGATCTAGATTTTTATTTTCTTTCATGATCAGTTTGATTTTCTTTTTGGGCCCTATATGTACTGAATTAATTTAAGACAGACTCTTTTGGCTCAGCTGTTATTAGGCATATGATTTCTGAATTTGCTACACATGTAATTTATTTCTCTTTTGAGTCCCAGAATATCTTGAATATTGAAATGCCTATATTATTCAAGATTCATATACATTTTTATTCAGGCAACTAAAATATTCTGTAAATGTGTTATCCAGCATAATTTTGGGTGCTTTAAAAGCTACAATTTGCAATGGCACTGCCAAAGTTCCACATAGAAAAATATGTCTTTGCAGCTAAGGCTATATCAGCTCATCCAGAGGATTTAACTCTGCTGTTATATTCTAAAATACACAGTAACCAAAAGGATCACATTCAGAAGAGAGCACCTGGGAACGTTGGGTAGACTTGGCAATATATATATATCTCTCTCCAGAAAGTAATAGCCCCACTGGCTGAAGATGGCAAGGATAAGCAGATCTTCAGAAAAAGACCCTGTTTATAGTAACAGGTATCCAGATGGAAATATGCTACTCAAGAACTAATGCCTATTCTCTCACTTTAGATAGCGTAGGAGGCAAAGTAGCTATGTTTCTCTGAGGCAGAGGGAGTTCAGGCATCAGGTAGATATCCTGTGTCATCTTATCCTGAGAGCCTTTCCTATATCATTTTTTTCCCCTTTTACAGTTAGAACAACAGAGGCAACAGTTACTTACTGAACGCCAGAACTTCCACATGGAACAGCTGAAATATGCCGAATTACGAGCCCGACAACAAATGGAACAGCAGCAGCATGGCCAGAACCCTCAACAAGCACACCAGCACTCAGGAGGACCTGGCCTGGCCCCTCTTGGAGCAGCAGGACACCCTGGCATGATGCCTCATCAGCAGCCTCCTCCCTATCCTCTGATGCACCACCAGATGCCACCACCTCATCCACCCCAGCCAGGTGAGGTGAAAGCTTTGCCCGTCAAAGAGACTTGTGACCATCCCATGTCACAGATTAGAGGGATCAATCATGTAGGTGATGTTTTCTGACAAGGCCTGTTCAAAATTTCCCTTGTCATCTAGGAAGTCATAGGCATATGAGATATAATTTTACCATCATGTAAAACCTGCCATGTTTGGTTTTTTTTTCCAATCTTCTTGATTAGATACTTTTTCCTTGGGTGGGTCAGACTCTGAATGGCAGTATATCTCAGGGTTTCTTAAAATTTTACCTTTAGATTGTCTCTGCATTCTTTTTTTATTATAAAAAATTTTAAAGATAGATACAAAAAGAAAACTGCAATAGCCAGATGTGGCAGCACTTACCTGTAATCACAGCCACTCAAGACATTGAGGCAGGAAGATCACAAGTTCAAGACCAGCCACAGCAGCTTAGTGTATACCCTGTCTCAAAATGAAGAGGACTGGAGATTTAATTCAGTGGTAGAGCACCCTTGGGTTCACCAGAGGGGAAAAAATAAGGACAAATAACAATAATAATAAAACAGCAGTGAACTTTCATGACCCAGCTTTGTAATCATTACCTTTTTGCCATTGTTGACTTTTCATTGTGGAAATCTTCAACTGAAGACAAAAGGAGAGATTAGTATAATCCCTATAAACCTGTTACAGAGCTTCAGAATTATTGATGTTGATGATGAATTTTTATATGTTCCTCCTCACTTCAGAATGTATCTTTTTATCCTCCCTCCCTCCCTCCCTCCCTCCCTCCCTCCCTTCCTCCCTTCCTTCCTTCCTTCCTTCCTTCCTTCCTTCCTTCCTTCCTTCCAGGGGATTGAGCCTGGAACCTTGCACAGGTGCTCTACCATTGAGCCACATCCCTGGCCCACCTTCCTTTTTTTTTTTAATTTAAGGTCATTTAGATGTTGAAGAAACCAGGTTTTCCACACTCTGGCCATACTTAATTGTACATTCGAGGTGTGATATCATTTGTCCCCCCCCCTCTCCTTTCCCTTCCATACATGTCCCATAAACCAGAGGATTGCTGTGAAGATTTTATTAGGCTCTAAATAAAATTAAAGGCTGGGGTTGTGGCTCAGTGACTAAGCACTAGTGGGTTCAATCCTCAGTGCCAAAAAAGATCTCCATCAGACTTCACCTGATAGGTTTAGTTGCCATTGAGAATTGCTCCCTAGATTGGTTATTTCATTGGGCATAATAAATAATGAGATTTCTAAATTTATTATTTATATTTATACTAGTGATTCTTTTTGATACACAAATTGTTCCATCTTTAACTTATGGGAGCCTTTTGAAGTTTGCTGCTATTTATCCCATTAAAATTAGTTTGAAAGTTAAACTCAGTTCTTTCAAACTTGTCTACCAATATCGTTAAAACCTAAAATGCTCTTTTAATTTCAGCCCCTTTGCCCTCACAATCAAAATAAAATTTTTAAAATTGGGGGCTGGGATTGTGGCTCAGCGGTAGAGCACGGGCCTAGCATGGGCGGGACCCGGGTTCGATCCTCAGTACCTCATAAAAATAAAGGCATTGTGTTGTGTCCATCTACACCTAAAAAATAAACATTAAAAAAAATTTAAAATTTTGTCTTCTACAGGAATATACAAGTGCCTTACCCAAAGCTAGAGTTTGTGTGTGTTAGATTAGAATGCAAATACTATGGCCAGGGCATGTAGAGGCAAGCTAAGATAAATATAGAGTGGCTCTTAGAAGCCTGCAAAGATCCCAACATGATATAACATCAGTTGACCTGACATCCTCAAAAGACAGATTTTTAAATCTTTATATGAAAATAACCAGATATATTTTCCTGTGGAAACTATGACTGAATATAAAATTATGATTTCACATCTTGCGTTGTTAACATAAATCTTTTATTTACAACCCAAAACATATTGTTATTAGTTAATTGTTTTTATTGACTTTACCCTAAAATAGGACAGAGTTGACTTTGATCAGGGAAGTGTTCATTTGCTCACACACACCTGTTACTTTGTAATTATGGAATTTACTACCATCATTAAAATTGCCACTTGATCTAAGTAGTGTTTGTGGAGACAGTCTTAGAAATATGACATGTTGAAACATAGGACACTTTCTTCCTCACTTCTCTCTGTCCACATGAACAGGAAGTGTTCATTTGCTCACACACACCTGTTACTTTGTAATTATGGAATTTACTACCATCATTAAAATTGCCACTTGATTTAAGTAGTGTTTGTGGAGACAGTCTTAGAAATATGACATGTTGAAACATAGGACACTTTCTTCCTCACTTCTCTCTGTCCACGTGAACAGAGGGATCAACAAAGTGCAAATCACTGAGTAATTTTACAAATATAGTTATGGTTGTAAAATTAAGTTCCTGGAAGTTTACCACCAGCCAACCTAGTAAAGTAACTGATGAAAAATATATTCAAATTTTTTTTTCCACCTGGGTATGGTGGCACACACCTATAATCTCAGCTACTTGGGAGACTGAAGCAGGAAGATTGCAAGATCAAGGCCAGCCTGGGCAACATAGCAAGACCTTGTCTGAAAGAATAATGAAAAAGGGATGGGCACAATGGTGCATGCTTGTAATCCTAGAAACTCAGGAGGCTGTCAGGATTACCAGTTCAAGACCAGCCTCAGCAATTTGGCAAGGCCTTAAGCAATTTAGTGAAACCCTGTCTCAAAATAAAAAGAGTTTGGGATATAGCTCAGTAGTAGAAACAAAAATTCCTGAGTTATGGGACAGATTTTTAGGGGAAGTTCACTATGACTACTTGGTATTTGGTTCGTGATGGTGTTGAAGCATCATATTCACAGTAGCTATTTACAGAGAACTTCTTAGGAATTCTAGCATCTGTATTTAGCTTGTAAAAGATGGGCCTAGAGATGCATCCTAGGTACACCTGATGTTGGTACACCTGACTCTTCACCCACATCATTTCACTTCTTGTTGTCCTCACTGAACAGTTGAAGACCTGGTGTATGGTAAGGCCAAATAACCCTGCTGCCCAGCATATTCAGGTTTCACACTGAGCTCCATCTGATTCAACAGTGAGACCAGGACAGAATGCTGAGAGGGGTTCCAGCAGACGCAGATTCTCCTCAATAGGTGGTACCAGCAAATGACTTGACAAAAATAGTCTTTAGAAGAGAAATAGGTCATTTTTCCTTTTAATTTTCTAACCAACATAGGCATTTCTACAGTGAATTTGTAAGAGAAAAATCATTCAGTACAAGATGAGAATTGTTTCTTTTTCCCTTTTTTAATCTATGTCAAGTTATTCTCATAATTTTTATTGAAACATAATATAATATGGAAAAACATATGTCATAAGTATTTCTTTGCTGAGTTTTAACAAAGAGACACGACCTATGTAACCAACACTCAGAGGCCTCTATCATAGTTCCCTCAATCTCTTCCCCTCCCAAGATACACCTCTCCTGACTTCTAATACCATTGATTAGTTGAGCTGGTTTTAAATGTTGATTGGATCATAGTGATTTGTTTGCTTGTCTGGCTTTTACTCAGAACTGAATATGTGAGCTGAACACAGTAGTGTTTGCCAGTAATCCCAGCTAATCAGGAGGCTGAGGTAGGAGGATCACAAATCCAAGACCAGCTTGGGCAACTTAACTTAGCAAGACCCTGTCTCAAAATAAAAAGATCTGGAGATGTAGCTCAGTAAAGCACTTCTAGGTTCAGTCTTCTGAATCACATAATAAAAAATGAAAAATAAAGCATTGTATATATGAGATACATACGTACATATACATTGTTGTGAGTGGTTCTGTTTGCTGAATAGTGTTACACGGTGTGGCTATTCTACAATTTATTAGTCCATTCTCCTGCTTATGAACATATAATTGGTTTCTAGACTTTAGTTATTATGAATAGTTAAAAAATAGCCATAAACATATGTGAGCAAATGTCTTTTGATATACAGTATACATTCCTGTTAAGTTTGTCCTTAAGGAGTAGAATTGGGTGTGTTCCAAGGAATAGGTCATAGAATTTGTGTTTTTTCATATCACTACATGCCCTCAAAATGTTTCCAAAATGGCTGTGGCTTTTTAATAGTGTATAAAGAGTTTTCAACAGCTCAAAATTTATATAATTTTTATAATTGCCCCTTTTGTGGGGTTGCTTTGGAGTTTGAATTAAATTAGTATGTTAAGAGAGTAAAATTGGGGCTAGGATTGTGGCTCAGTGGTAGAGTGCATGCCTTGCACACATGAGGCACTGGGTTTGATCTTCAGCATCACATAAAAGTAAATGAAGAAAATAAAGATTTTGTGGGATTGGAGTTGTGGCTCAGCGGTAGACTGCTCGCCTGGCATGTGTGAGGCACTGGGTTTGATCCTCAGCACCACATAAAAATAAATAAAATAAAGGTAGTGTGTCCCTCTATAACTAAAAAAATAATATATATATATATATATATATATTGTGTCCATTTACTACAACAACAAAAAAAAAGTAAAATTAATAGCAGTAGTAAATTAAATCCAGTATTTTAGGATTGCCTTCATCTTACCAGTTCAGAAAAAGCTAATTCTACCAAGTCTGGTACTTGGTATTCTAGTGTTAGCCAAAGGGGCCTTTCAAATCAAGGCATGTGAGATAGTCCAAAAATATGTGTTTTGGGTAAACAATATCTTCAGTCTATGATTTTACACAAATGTAAGTTAAGAGCTATAAGCAGATCCTTCCAACTTACGTTTCTTAGTTTTAGAAAAGTTAACAGGTCACAGCATTTATATTAGGAGTTGAGGATAATTACCCAGGTAACTTTTTGCTATTTATCCAGAACTTAACCATGTGTAAAAGGACAGGAAAAACCAGCTTGTAAATGACAGCAAAGTTGGAGAAATGTCAGGAAGGAGGGTCAAGGAAGATTTACTATCAAGTGATTAATTTGTCCATCTCTTAGCCTATGTTTCTATGTGTATATAATTTTTCTCTGTAAAACTGTCCATCAGTTAAT